ACGAATTTACTTAAAGAGGGATAGTACATTATACCTGATGCAGTAATACAGTTTTTTTGTGTATCCGTGTTGTGATTACAGAACGTTGGGATTAAGTTCGGATTAGGTTGAGTACGGTTGAGTTTGGTTGAGTGTGTTTCGATTTGGTTAGGTTAGATTCTGGTTATGTTGATTTAAAGTTAGGTTAGAGTGGGTAGTATGGGCGAGCGGTATGGATGGGTGGTATGGCTGACCGGTTGTGGGCATAGGTGGGCGTTAAGAAGGGCCGAGTGTTGGCAGGCCACCTGACTTATTGTATCTTGAACTATGTAATTACTACATTGAATCAGGTGTGCTTGAGGACATTCTTGCTGTTTATCCCAAATTTGCTAGCCCACACTGATTAGTCTTCAATTAGAATATGACTCCAATGTATGTGATCCACTGACCTATATATGCTGCTAATGGATATGATGTATTTCCTTCTTTGTGTACGAACCTCTGTCCTGCATGGCAGTGAACAGTGGCATTACCCACATGAATCTGACCGACGTATATGTATGTGTGTGTGCGTGTGTGTATATATATATAATAATAATAACACTGGGGAACAAAATTCAACTTTTTGTCAGTTGCATACATTTTGAGACCTGTTTCTGGGTAAATTGAGGTCACTGATTTCAAATATGGCACCGGTTTTTTTCTACCGGGTCTAGTTTTGTTACGGTGAGTTACCTACCATTTACTACTATATATAGTTAGACTACCATATACTACTGCTAAAATCTAAACCAGCACACAGAGAGGAATTACCAAACACGTAGAATTAATTTTTAATTACTTTTATTTACCTTGACAAGCATATTTTGGATTCATCAGTTGCTTTTGTGAACTATGCCAGATTTATTCAGGCACAAACTTGCGTTTAATGGACTGTCTTGAATATCGCCTCTCAGTGCAGTCTCGCTGAATGCTCCAGCAATAGTACGCCATCATGTGAATGTACCAGCGACCTTGATACCTGTCTTCCATGACTTTGATATCCTGGTGAAAGCGTTCACCTTGCTCATCACTCACGTCCCCCAAGTTTGCCTGAAACTTAATGCTCATGTTGCAACCTAACACATGGAAACTTTCCACCAAAGATTCAACGAGCTTTTTATAGTCCTCTGATTTCCTGTTTCCAAGAAAGTTCCTTACAACAGAAACGAATGCTCCCCATGCATTTCTCTCAACATCAGTCATGGATTGAGTGAAGGCTTGGTCTTTAATCAGCGTCCTAATTTGAGGGCCGTCGAAAATACCTGCTTTGAGTTTTTCTAGCGTTAAACCAGGGAACACTTCACACAGATACTTAAAACAGTCACTGTCAGTATCGAGCGCCTTGACAAACTGTTTCATAAGGCCCAGCTTGATGTGAAGGGGCGGGAAAACAATTTTTTCACGTTCCACTAGGGGTTCATAAATGATGTTCTTTTCCCCAACATTGAGGCTTTCCCTAACTGGCCATTCCTTCTGAATCCAGTGTCTGTCTTTGGCTCTGCTGTCCCAGAGGCAGATAAAGCAAGGAAATTTTGTATACCCACCTTGCTGTCCTAGCAAAAAATTTACCATTTTTAGATCAACACAGATGATCCATTTGTGTTCTTCATATTTGAGTAGCTCCAAAACCGTTTTGATGTGTTCATATTTTTCTTTCAGGTGTACTGAGTGTCCTATGGGTATTGCGCCAAAGATGTTGCCAATATGTAATAAAACACACTTCAGACTCCGCTTAGAGCTATCTATAAAGAGGCGCCACTCTTTCGGATCATAACCTGGAGCTCCCATCGCGGTGACTAATCCAGAAATATCACAACAGTAGACGAAGTCAAATTTAGAATCAAAGAACTGTAAGAGGTTCTTTTCTCCGTTGCGAAAGAATGTTACCTTTGTGTCTATTTTCAGCAAGTTTTTATCTTTTAACCGTGAAGCCAACAATTCTGACAGCTTTTTAGACAGACCCAGATCTCGAACTAAGTCATTGAGTTCTGTTTGGCTAAATGTTTGCGGTTCTGTTGATATGCCTGCAAAATCTGAGTCACTATTTCTGTTAGTTGACTCCTCTGTGACCTCAGTGTCATATTCACTGTCAGATTCAACGGAAGCAAGTTGAGTGAAGATAGGCTTTGGAACATCATCTGAATGGGGCACAGGCCTGATTGCTGAATCTAGACTAGGGTATGTGATAAGATAACTAGACCTGATCTGCACAAACGAATGCCATTTTCAGAATCTGTGACCTCAAATCTACCAGAATCAAGTGTCAGAACTCATGCAACCGAAAGTGTGTTCCCCTAATAATAATAATAATAATAATAATAATAATAATAATAATAATAATAATAATAATAATAATCAACGGTTTATTGAAAAAATTCTGCAGCCCGAAGGCTGAAAATATACATTGGACATAAATGACGTATTACATACATTGGTGGTTTAACAAAAGCCTTCATTAGAGAAAGGTAAAGGAACATACAGTGAACATACAGATTAATGTAGGTGTTGAACAGCAAACTCGTAGTGTAGTAACTCCCTCCCAGATGGTGTTAGGAGGAACTCACGTGGTGTAGTAGTTCCCTCAGATGTTGTTATGAGGGACCTGGCGTGGTGTAGTAATTCCCTCGCAGATGGTGTTATGAGGGGCCTCACGTGGTGTAGTAATTACCTCACAGATGGTGTTATGAGGGACCTCACGTGGTGTAGTAATTACCTCACAGATGGTGTTATGAGGGGCCTCACGTGGTGTAGTAACTCCCTCACAGATGGTGTTATGAGGGGCATCACGTGGTGTAGTAATTCCCTCACAGATGGTGTTATGAGGGGCCTGACGTGGTGTAGTAATTCCCTCACAGATGGTGTTATGAGGGACCTCACGTGGTGTAGTAATTCCCTCACAGATGGTGTGATGAGGGACTTGACGTGGTGTAGTAATTCCCTCACATATGGTGTTATGAGGGACATGTGGTGTAGTAATTCCCTCACAGATGGTGTTATATGAGTGAGGTTTGGTCCCAGGCCTTCCTATCGTAGACGGATTAACACATCGGTGGTTGTTGTTGGGTCTCGCGGGGGCCGTTATCACTGGGTATCTGGGACCTCACTGTGTGAAGGTTAACTTGGGTACGACTGTTACTGTTGAGTTGTTCTCACTGACTTAAGCACTGTTCACCACTGTTTAACACTGGTTCCGTTCCTTTCCTAAATGAAATTGTAACTTCTGGCGAGAACTTGTTGATATTCCGGTGGGGAGGAGGGTTCAGGGGAGGGGGTTGGTATGGGCCAACTTAACAGTTGACCTGGCTGCTCCGAGAGGAGCGCCAGGTACGTCTTGACCCTTCGGTGGTCAAGGATGTGTGTATATGTACATGTATATGTGTATGTATATATGTATATGTATGTATATGTGTGTGTGTGTGTGTGTGTACATATATGTATTTGTACTGTCAATGAATATAATGCATCTCTTTGTGTATGAACCTCTGTCCTGCATGGCAGTGAACAGTGACATTACCCATATGAATCTGACCTATATACATTTATAGCTGTTAATGAATATGATGTATTTCTTTGTGTATGAACCTCTGTCGTGCGTGGCAGTGAGAAGTGATACCACCCTCAGTGTCAAGACCTGACTGAATTACTCAGAATAGGCAAACTGCACTACAAGCTCAGCCAATAAATTTGTTAAACTAAAACCGTGAGGGCAAACTTTTTCGGAGTGAGGGTTGTAAACTCTTGGAACAATCTACCAGAGAGTGTTGTGACGGCACCGAGTGTGAGCTCTTTCAAGAGAAGACTTGACCAACACTGGAGCGGGTTCAGGTACATTCAGGAGCCGGTGCATGCCCAGTATTTGCCAACAGTGCGTGACAGAGACGTGACCGATCGCCCGGGCGGCTAGCGAGCCGACCATTTGGTGAAGAATATAAAGGAAAAGAGACGTGACCGATCGCCCAAGCGGCTAACAAGCCGATCAGTGGCGAAGAGGATGAAAGTAAAAGTGAAAAAAGTTGGCAAGGGTGGGCGGGTATGTGCGTGCCATGGGCGAAAATCGAGGTTTCAAAATAACTGCCTCAACTAGATAGAGCCAGCTTACACATTCTTAAAGAGAGATAGAGCTTATAACCATACGGATTAAAGCTCGCTCTATGTTAGTCTTTAATATCTCTCTTTTGTTACAACTTAAAAACGAGTTTTCAAATTATTGGTTAAGCTTTATTTAAGTTGAGAGTTTCTTTCATTCGCGTCTCATTGAAGGGGAAACTATATTTAAGTCGTAATTTGTTCTTCTTGGCAATGTCTCTGAAAATCATAGTTGTATGTTCAGTTTTGTTCATAATTAAATCAACGATACCATTTTTAACACAAATTTCCATTTCTGTTTATATCTCACAAAGGACACACATTCCCACGAGTTTTTAGCTCAGTAGTCATAGATCCTTGCCTCCCTCCTACCTAACCCTCCTCCCTCCCTCTCCCACGATGGTATGCTGAGAATAATATTCGATCTCCCAGCTAGTGTTTGTTCATGCGGTGTCCCCTATCAGTCCCCTAGTCCTCAGTCCTAATTAACTCCCATTACTAACAGGTAGTAGCAGCCCCCAGCACCTCCCTCTGTTGTCTCCGTAAGAACAACTATTACTTATAAGACAGGACTGCTGCCTATAGCTTTACTTATATCAGGGTTTCATTTAGTGATACTGCCTTTATAAGATTATATACGTTGAGTTTAGCTTATATACAAGTAGGCCAGGTTAGGTTAGTAATTGTGTTGTTTTAGGTTAACTTACTTGTCTTTGGTTAGGTTAGGTTAGATTAGGTATAGGTTAGGTTAGATTAGGTTAGGTGTAGGTTATATTAGGTTAGGTGTAGGTTATGTTAGGTTAGGTTACATAGCGAGGAACAGTACGAAGGAGCACCCGCGGGTCAACATTGGGTAGGAGGGAGACTCCGTCCTAAAACCAAGTATCACATACCTTGTTGATTGCTCTGAACCTGAATCGAAAGGTCGAGGGTGATGTAGACAGTGGAGATATAACCACGCTCAGGAACCACCCAATTCAACTTCTTGATTAAACTGCTGTTACAAGTCACCAAGAAGAGAATGGCTTTAGTGTTTGTGCTATGTCTCCTGCGTTTAAGTCTTATCTAAACCCGTATTAGGGTATGGTAACTCAGGGTAAGCAAGAGCGACGTAAAAAGCGTTCCTCCTGCTCCACGTCCCGCGTACGACTGGCTGCCCGTGAGAACAGTGTGAGACTGGGAGTGCGTGTCCGGGAGAGGTCGACTAGGTTTCTCGCCCTGTCACTGTGCCTGCAGAGGGAGAGACAAGTGGCCCGGGATTTTCAATTACGTAATAGGAATAAATTTTTTTCCTATTTACTTTAGTCTATACCTACTCCAATAGATATAGTCTAAGTTAAGAGTAAAATAAATGAACTTAGGCACCCTTGAGAATCTTTATCGCGTTAAGGATTTGATTTTGCCGCTTACAGCGGCTACTTTATTGTGCACCCCACACTCATCCTGTGAGCGGTAGCGCAAAAGGATTACAGAGTAGAGTTTACAACGGGTCATAATAATTAACCCCCGTTGTCAGGATGTTATGGCACTGAATGTTACACAGTATTTCAATTACATTATTTGTTTAGTTCTATACATAAAGGGTAACTTATTCACAAATGCGTGAGTACAGGCGTGTGAGGTAGTATGTCTGGCCTCACACTTTGTTATTCACATTTACGTGAGAAGTATTCAAGCACATTGCGTATTTGGTTCTGTACATGAGAACTGATATAGTTACTGAGTGCAAAAAAGTGGATACAGTCTTATCGCGTTAAGGTATATAACGGTATGTGGCCTAAGTGTTAATTACCCATGTAACCTAATTAATAACCACTAATTAAATATAATCTGTGAAGTTTTTTTAAAAGAACGAAAATATGGTTTGGTTAATAATTATAATTATAGACGACGAAATGTAAGCACCCAGATTATAATAATGTACTATAATTCATTCAGGCGTGTGTGTGTTTCTGTAAAGTCTTATCTAAACATAGCATTAGTTACGAGATCCATCATTATACTGTCTCTATTACACTCCGTCACTCCCCTTCAACACCCAGAATCTCCAAGCTAGTCTTCCAGATCAATGACAACACTATACACCAACAGCCAAGACTTAATTAGAGATAAATATTCCACGAATTTTTGCATTAGTGATCAATTCCTCCGCTCATCGACTAGTTACCAGGGATAGGCTATCAATGACTACGGTGGGAATTTAACTATCTGGCGTAAACCCTTAATTGTAACTATAATTTGTTTGATATTTCTGAAATGTAAAGCTATCGGGTAATATGAGCAATGAGCGACGAGATCAACGGGCAGTGTCTTATTTGATAATAGGAAGTTGTCTTTTTCATACATATAGGCTTAGTTGTAGACCATGATGACTGACTTCACCAAATATTGTCGAAGAACATCATTAACAGCGACATTCCTATCGCATCTGACGACATTTCCGATATTTTTTAGTTTTCGGGAGTATTTTATATTGTTGAGAATATTCTAGAAGGACCCTTTTGGTTTTTAAAGTGACGGACAGTGCCAGAGGTTGTCAAATGTTTACAGGGGCAGGAAGTGTGTCCCGGGCTGTCCTTTATTACCCCACACCGGAAACCTTTACCTGATGAATGACTTACTACTGGCAGTCCTCTGAAAACCAGAAGCCAACACTCGAGGGTTTTACCGGAATCCTGATCCACTGACGTACATGATACCTCACAACGTTGACGTATTGCATAACCTGGTGGTAGCTCTTTCCTGTCTTGCTCTCTTGGGGGAACGGCCATCACTTAGTAACCCTATACTGTATATCACGACTGGATTTGTTATTTTCCTATTGTTGTCTTTGATTGACGTCAGACTGACCTGGTTCGTGCCCGTATGTGACCCAGTCAACTCAGCTGTGAATGGTTGTCTGGCCTCAGTTACGTGGATGAAAGCGGTCGAATTTACTGCCAACCTCATTGCTTTTTATATATTGAGGCTGTGAGTTATGACTCTACTGTACTGTTCACTTTCATACATTAACATTACGTGTTCTCTATAAGTGTAGATTAAAATCCACCGCACTTATCGTGATTTTTAAGTATTTCGTCCACTATACGGGCTTAGGCAGTACAACCACCTATAATGAGACAAAATCTCACATGAAGAAGTAAGCTAGGAGTTTATAGTAGTAGAGTATTATAGTGAGAGGATGTGGTAGCGTGTCTCGAGGGTGTGATGTCAACACTGTATATTAACACAGGCACAGTACAAGTGTAGTATATAAAACACCAATGCGTGTTACAGCTTTATTTTACTAGTTCAATGGGGGGGGGGATTAATGGGGGGTTCGTACACAGTTTATGATAGACTATGGTATTCTCGTATAACCTAACCTCACAACTAGAATGGGCACTTCACTAAGTCGATCGTTGGGGAGGTTCGGGATCACCGCACTCCTACCGTCTACACAGCCAGCACTTACTGTTACACGTTGAGTTGACAGCACTCTGTCGACGGACCCGGCTGAGACTTCGTTACACTTACACTTAGTGGCGGTCTTCTCTCGAGCGGGACTGGGGACGTAGTAGCTGGCCTTTCCTGGTTACAAGACACCCTCTCCGGGAGAGGAGCTCCAGCCCCTATATATTGGACGAGCCGGGGGGTAACCTCTCCTACTGAACTGGGTGTGTCTTGACCGGGTTGTTAGGTCAACAGGAGTGCTCGCTAATTAGCGGGTCCTTGAATTAACAAGGTCATGACGCCGGGTTGAACTGATTGAGTGGTGGTGAGAATTCTGGTTCCCTTGAGTCAGGTCCGGGTGTGTCTTGGCCAGGTGTGGTTTCCTTAACACGGTTATATCGTAGGGTTATTCAAGTACTTAGGCCGGGGTCAGGTCTCTTGGGTCTTGGGGCGTGTCAACCTGGTATGTGGTGGTACCACGAGGTCTATACCCAATCACTGTTATAGTGATGTAATTCTCTGAGTTGAAAGCTATGGTCTGATAATCAATCATTACACCTCCCGCCAAGACCAAGGCTTCCATCACAGATAACTGATAACACATATAGATAGCAATATCACGTGTAGTATCTAAGATAGTCCCTGAGGCGATAACACAATCTTACATTTACAACAACAATCTCATAGGTGTATGTTTTTCTACTGGCGCTAGTTTGGTCTGACAAAGCTCACTATACCTCCCGCCAAGATCAAAGCTTCTATGCCAGACAGTGGATGTTTACAGTGGATGACAAAGCGAGTGCACATCCTGCGAAAAATATCTACTGAGGTGCAAAGTATACACCTCACATCCTACCATAGTCTGATAATATTTAAAAATTTAAGCGGCTAACTAAATATACGGAAAAGGAAAGATGGATGTAGATATGAAGGGGAAAGAGGGCGCCTAGGCAGGTGCTTGTCGGAGAACGTCACTTTAGGAGGTTGGATGAGGGTACACAGTCGGAGGTTTGAAAGGTTATGCAATGGTGTTGCTTGCCCTGGCTTATTTCTGCTTAGGTTCCCTAGTGTTAGTATCTTCAAGCCTGGACCAGATTTACATACTTGTTGCTTCAATTGTTAAACTCTTGCGCAGGGCAGCACATACAACATATATAATAATAAGATACATGGCCGCTTAAAAAAAATACAACTTGTGAACAAAAAGAAATATTTGTACATACTAAAAAGGCAGCAGAAATTATTAACAAGATACAATGGCAAAAACAAAAACTCGTCAGCATTCGTCGAGATGCCGGGTGGCGCTTGGTCCATCACCACCTCCACCAATCGGTGCCCGGCATCAGGGTGGACGACGCAGTAGATACAGTGGTTGGTATATTTATATTTAATCATATACATACACTTATACACACATACATGCACTTACATACACACATACATGCACTTACATACACTCACACAAATACACACATACACCACGCTACAGTATTGAGAGAGCTGCAATTCTCTTTTCATGTTTCTCATCTCTCTCTCACTCAGCATGCCAGGACTCGGTCGCAGGATGCTCCCTCAGGATCATCCTCGTCACGTACGGACAAATATCCTGACCCAATTTCCCGGCATCCGTCACAGATTATCTCCCCCCTTCTCGTTCTCTTCTCCCTCTCCTTCCCCTTTCCTCCATTCTGCTTTTCCTTTTCATCTTCTTTCATTCATCACTCTACATCTATATCTCTCCCTCCCTTCCACCCTCTCCTTCTACCGCCCTTTCCCCTCTCTCTCCATTCCTTCATCTCTCTGCTACCTTCACCAGTCTGTCAATGATTGTTTAGCTATACAGGGTGAACGTCTAACATCCTTCACTATGGGGACTCCTCGAACACAAGGCGTTAACAGCGTGAAGGAGACAGTAGGTTACGACCGAGATCTACAGTGTGCTTTTATTTATCTTCTTCTACAGTGGAATTTTTAGTGACACAAGCATTTATATTTACAAGGACACACGCACGCACACACACACACTCAAATCATTAAACATGCAATGAGGAATGTGTCCTTGGTCCTGTGTTAATATTTACAATACAGCCGAAGTATTACACCCACCCCCCTAACCCAACCTGTATGACATGAGGCAGGTCATCTGGCACACTGTATGGAGAAAAGTTGACATATCCTGAACCTTTTTTTGCTGTGATTCTATCTCCTGTTAATTATGTTTTCATATACATTACGTTTTTATGGACACTCGCTATCGAACGCCTTAAGTGTCGCACAGTTTCGTTAACCGAACGAAAATCTGAACATTGCTTTGGGAAAATTTTATTGCAAATTAAATTACTTCTTTTCAACCAGTTAATACTAGAAAGACGAGCAACATATAATTATTACGAAGTAGTAAGTAGTAGGCAGATATCAAACAGGGAGGTACTATCGCCTAGGAAAATATTGGAAGCATAATGTGTTGTCTAATGGTAGACCCTGCTGCCATATGGCATCACGAAAATTGTGACCAAGTCCCAGGTTGCAGACCTGACTTTGCGGGGTTTCAATTGTTTCTCTTACTTTGATAACACACACAAAACACAATGTATATCGTTTCTCAATCTTGATTGATTTATTTTTTCGTTTCTGTATATATTTATTATTATTATTATTATTATTATTATTATTATTATTATTATTATTATTATTATATTTTCCCTCCAGGCCTTGATGTGGATTAGTGACCTGTGCCCGGGTGGGTTAATCACCGTAAAAAAACAGCTGTTATATATTTTTTGTAGTCAGGATACACAGGTGATGGCTGCGTGTGTGACGTGTGTGTGTGCGTGACAGCCTGTGATTATATGAAGCATCAATTCGGCAGTAAGCGAGCTCTTGCTAGCTCTTAAGTATTGACTAAATTACAATAGAAATCATAATATTTTATTTCCAATCTTCGCATTTTCCCGCGCGTTATGTGAGCACTACTCTCAAACAGTGGACGTTATGTCGCAAGGAAAGTTGTTACCTGCGTACTCTATATCCCGCGTGGACCCGATTGTTTCTGAAATGTTCGCTTCTTCTCCTGTCAGCACGGTTGGGGTTGTGTAAAGGCTGGGGTGTATATTGGGGTCAGGGCGGCGTGGCTCCGACATAATTTACTGCTAGGTTAGGTTAAATCAGGTTAGGTTAAGTTAGATGAAACTAGGTCATGTCAGGTTAGGTTAGGACGATTGATTAGCCTCGGCCATCATAAACCCCATTACTCAAACCCTCACACACTACACAAAGGTTTATTAAGCACCATTCACATCGATGTTATCAATATCCTACAACATATTGACAAATAAAAACACACATTCTACATTGAACATATTTTAATTGAACACCGAAGGATATGAACCACATACTGCTCTACATGATGAAGGTTACAGTCAACACGACATACACTCTACTCACTTCACCTGCCGGTATGAGAGAAGGACGGGGAATGTAAGGCCACGTTTGTGTATAACTTGGTTCACTGCATAATAAATGTATTTTCTGTGAGGTCTGAAGGTGCTGTACACTAAATAACCACTCAACCTAACCTAACTTTAACACACCTGATGCATATATTATAAACTTAACTCGAGCACCTGGAGCACATTCTCAAAGGCTTCTGCGATTAATTTATTCCCTTAAGTTAAATATCTAAGAATACATGTACTACACATATTAGTACGTAGAGAAAAAATTACTGTAAGATTTTTGGGTGACTCTTTAACTCGTCGATTTGTCTGGTGTACTTGGAGCTGTCAACCTAACTACAGTAATCAAGGCTGAGTCTTAGTGTAAGCCCGACACACTCATGATGTGTGTGTGTCTAACAGCAATATTTGTATAAATGTGGGTTACATACATTAGGTTTATATAATTATATCACCCAGGGTAACTTTCCTATGAGCCGTGAGTAGTCATCAAGTGGACTTGTGACAGTGTATTGACACTGTTCCCTCACACCCTGACCGCAGAGTCATCAATTCAGTAGCTGGCTATCATTAATTCTCCTCCTGTCTCTGAGCCACTGAGAAGTGTACTCTAAGATTCTAGATATACCCAAGCTATGAGCTATGTTGCTTTCAGTTCACCTCTAATTAGTGACTCCACAGGTAACTGGAAACTGCAACATGTGTATGTGAGTGCGAGCTTTAGTACAAGTGAGTCACTTAGCTACGTCCAGACATCTATATTTACGTGGAAAAATCCATCGTGTGAAGTTTGAAGAATTCGTGGGCGGGAACCTCTTGCCTGGCTGAGTGTATTGACATTCCTGTTGCTTTGTTTACAAGCACAGAGGTAGAAATAAATATCCCTGTAATGTGAACCTTCAATAGGCAAATCACATCTAAAATAAGTAAAATCATATACAAATGGGTAGAAATCACATCTAAAATAGGTCAATACCACATGAAAATATTTCCCTCATCGAAATAAGATAGAGATCGCATAAATATTGAGAATAAATTAATAATAATTTATTATAATACACATTCGTCCCCCTCACCATCATTATTAGTGAATTACTCTGCGCCTGCGTAATACAGATGTGACCACACACCCCAGCCAGCCTGGCAAATGCCAGGCACCATCGTCCATGATCTAGTTTAGTTAGTCCTTCCTTCGACTCTGTAGAGGAAGGCCGGAGCTGTGTCTAGTGAAGGAGGGAGGAAACGCCTTCACAACTTGTTACTGCCGCTGTTCCCGCCATTATCACCTCATTTTTCTAGGTAAAATTCTTCTTGGTATTTTCTACTCAATAGGTCGTCTTATTGGAATGTTGATCTTATAACTTTACCAATCGTTATTGTCTCAAGGTATGTAACATAGTGTGAAACAGCTCCGTAGTGCTCTACTGCACCTATTTCTTTCCTTAAAGCAGAATTATTACTCGTGAATATGTGTGTTTGTGTATGTATATATGTGTGTGTATGTCTGTATATGTGTGTGTGTTGGTGTATGTATGTCTGTATATATATGTGTGTGTGTGACTCATTGATCGGGATCTCAAAGTTATGACTTATGAGTCATGGTGGATATATTCTTAACCTTGATATATGTTTATGTAGAGGAAGTTAGGCACTTGTGTACTTCGGGTGCACCTCCCCTCACCTGGTGTCGGTGTCTGATTGGTTGTCATTTACCTGACGTGACAACTTTACTACGTGACGTCACTGTTAGGTCCGTTCCATGCTTCGACCAACAGGAATGTAGTAATGAAGTTACAGACCAGAGGGAAGGTTTTTTGTGCTGGTCGAGGCATGGCGCGGACTTAACAGTGACTTCACGCAGTAATGTTGCCAGACACTGACACCAGGTGAGGTGTTATATTTTCTCCTAAGATGAGTTCTGTGTCGCCTGAAACACTTGAGAAATACTGTCAACTCAACCCTGTGTGTCCCTCCCATCCATCACTACTGTCAACTCAACCCTGTGTGTCCCTCCCATCCATCACTACTGTCAACTCAACCCTGTGTGTCCCTCCCATCCATCACTACTGTCAACTCAACCCTGTGTGTCCCTCCCATCCATCACTACTGTCAACTCAACCCTGTGTGTCCTCCATCCATCACTACACTCAACCCCCTCCCATCCATCACTACTGTCAACTCAACCCTGTGTGTCCCTCCCATCCATCACTACTGTCAACTCAACCCTGTGTGTCCCTCCCATCCATCACTACTGTCAACTCAACTGTGTGTCCCTCCCATCCATCACTACTGTCAACTCAACCCTGTGTGTCCCTCCCATCCATCACTACTGTCAACTCAACCCTGTGTGTCCCTCCCATCCATCACTACTGTCAACTCAACCCTGTGTGTCCCTCCCATCCATCACTACTGTCAACTCAACCCTGTGTGTCCCTCCCATCCATCACTACTGTCAACTCAACCCTGTGTGTCCCTCCCATCCACTTGTCGCCCTGGATCTATCATGTATGTACTGGATGTCTACCGAGCGTCAACACACGTCACACATCATTACAGGTAAAACCTTTTATTATCCCTGGTCTTTCGTCAATATCTCATCCCAGCCAGCCACTATACTGAATATACCTCCCTATAACGGACTTTCATCTCAATATAATCCGATAGAGGTTTTACATTTAACGGACCCTCGATATACCGCACTTTCATCTCTATATAGTTCGTTAGATAGAGGTTTCACATCTAATGGACCCTTGATATAACGGTCTTTCATCTCTATATAATCCGTTAAATAGAGTTTTCGCTGTGGGGTCGTAAAACTTTAACACGACTAGTGATTGGCTTAATGCCACTGCACTGACCAATTACATCAAGTCTTACATCCCTACTCGACAAAAATTCTAAGATACAAGATTTAAACAAAACTTACACAAGACTTACACAAAACTCACACTAAACTCACACCAATCGTACGCTTGAACCATTTACGCTACTGCCTCTTTCAAACGACCAGTAAGAGATAACAATGTCATTTACAATAGCATGAATGATTAATGAGAGATGTGAGAGATTAAGCAAGTACTCGAGTTGGAAGCGAGAGATGGTAGAAAATGACAATGATTTTACAACTACATAAGATAGTAGGTAGTAGGCAGCTACCAAACAGGGAGGTACTACCGCCTGGGAAGATATTGGAAGCATAATGTGTTGTCTAATGGTAGACCCTGCTGCCATATGGCATCACGAATATTGTGACCAAGTCCCAGGTTGCTGATCTGTCTTTCTGCTTCATTTACACACAATTGCAGGGTCTCAATTGTTTCTCTTACTATTGACAACACAACATACTATACATATAGCGTTTCTCACTATTGATTATTGTTTTTCTTTTCTTTATTATCATTATTACAGTGTTGTTATTATTATTATTATTTTATTTTACTTTTTATTATAAATTTTATTTACTCTGAATTACTATTATTATTAAATTTTCGCCCCCAGGCCCCGATGTGGGTCAGTGACCTGTGCCCGGGTGGGCTAATCCCCATAAAATAAATAATGGCGTGTTATTAGAGTGTTTGGTGAGCTGTTATCGCTAAAGTTACATCAGGAAACTCAAGTGTTGTGTTGGCCTCTCACACGCGAAGGGGTTTAAACACGCGAGGATAAGTTTATGTGCGTTGTTAGGTACATACTTATACAGACACTAATACACACAAATATATCCATACATATATACAGACACATACTCACACTATCATCCCCCCCCCCCACACACACACTTGGCTCTACTCAGCTAAGGCGGCCGTGGTCTCTTAGGCCATGGAGACAGCTGCCAGCCTGGTCTGTCGGGCCTTCCCCACCTGCATTTATCAACATCCTCCCACCAACAGCACAGTGCAAGAATTGACCATCAACCCACAACTGATATACCAAAGTGACAATTTCAACTCGAAAGAAACAACTGTTGGAGAGTGTTGACCTGACACACCCAGGGTACGCCGTACAATCATCACCACCAACAAAAGGATGAGAAGCTAAGAAAGACTCCAAACTACATCAGGAGATAAATGAGGACTCCATACTCCACCAGGTGAGGAACTATGAATTCCCAACTACTGACATCACATGAGGAACAAGAACCATCTCCAACACACTGTGTGAGCTGAAGGACCTACCCGGACCACATCTGCAACTGTAGTGATGGAGCGGCCTTGAGCATCTTGGTACAACAGCGAACAGTGAGAAGGGCTGTGTTGGCGCCACTATTAAGTTCACAAAGCTGTTTACAAGAGCAGCTACCACACAACCAGATCTTTGTCAATAAGAGCAGCTACCACAGAACCAGATCTTTGTCAATCAAGTGACCCACTCCCCGATTTCTCCATATGTAACTTATTATCTCTGTTTATTACTGTATATATTTTCAGGCTTCTGGCTGCCATGTTATCTTAATAAACCATTAGTTATTATTATTTAAACACACACACACACACACACACACACACACACACACACACACACACACACACACACACACACACACACACACATTAACAGGATAGCCCCAATTATCAAGGCTGAACACATCACAAGGAACACAATTAACTAACAACTTGACGCATAAGGCAGTTGATGACTGAACAAAGCTCCCAATTGCTCTGTTATGAGTCCCTGTTACTACCTGAACTCCTACTAACGAAGCAATGTGAAAAAGGGGCAGGCAGGGACTATAGTAACGGGGTTGTGATATTGCCTGGGGTTCTGCTAACGTGACAAAGAATATTGTGTGTGACGAGGGAGAGAGAGGTACACCTGATAGATTACTGTAAAGTCAAAACCAATGATTCGATCAGAACATTATTTTTCAAGTTAATACAAAAGCAATATTATTAATTATTATTATTATTACTATTATAATTATTATTAGATATTGTTAATGGTGAGACTAATCACTACCTGCCAGAACATAACACAATCTTACTATTAAAGTAGTAGGTAGTAGGTAGTAGGCAGCTACCAAACAGGGAGGTACTACTGCCTGGAAAGATATTGGAAGCATAATGTGTTGTCTAATGGTAGACCCTGCTGCCATATGGCATCACAGAAATTGTGACCAAGTCCCAGGTTACTGATCTGACTTTCTGTCTCATTTACACACAATTGCAGGGTCTCATTTGTTTCTCTTACTTGACAACACAACATACATAATGTATATCGTTTGTCATTCTTGATTTATTTTTTCGTTTTTGTATTTACAGTATTTATGATTATTATTATTATTTTTAGTATTTAATATGTATTTTTAGTATTTTGTTATTAATTTTTATGAATTATTATAATAATAATAATAGTTATTATTATTATTATTTGTATTTTTAGTATTTTGTTATTAATTTTTATGAATTATTATAATAATAATAATAGTTTTATTATTATTATTATTATTATTATTATCATTATTATTATTATTATTATTATTATTGTTATTATTATTATTATTATTCTTATTATTATTATTATTATTATTATTATTATTATTATTATTATTATTATTATTATTATTATTATTATTATTATTATTATTATATTTTCGCCCCCCAGGAGCTGATGTGGGTCAGTGACCTGTGTCCCATGCATTAGGTCGAGGGTTCGAGTCCTGGCTGGTGAGGTCGTTGATTATATGTTCAAAGTCCGCGTGTTATATGGACTAAAAATGAAATATATAGATATATATATATATATATATATATATATATATATATATATATATATATATATATATATATATATATATATATATATATATATATATATATATATTAGAAGTAAAAAAAAATATTAATGTTATTGTTTTATTTTTCATTCTTATAGTTACACATGCTGTACACACAATATTCCCCAGTTTACCCGGGGTGAGGGGGGGGGGTCAGTTAGCTTGGGGCAGAAAGGCGTACATGTGACTTATGACTTCTGCCAGTGGTCGCCGGAGAGGGACGCCAATGATGGTCATGGCCACTACCTCGTTGAGGCAGTTCTTGGTCGGCGTTTCCGGCAGACGTCTGGCCACACCGTAAACGAGCTTCCCAAAGGAGTAGGTGTCCGAGGCGGGCGAGGTGAATCCTCCAGTGTAAAGCTCCGGCGCCATCCAACCCTTGCGGTGTTGACCGTGGTTCACCGTAACTCCGGATTTTGTGGCCAAGCCGTAGTCGATAATGTGGAGTACGGGCTTGCCCTCTGGGAAGGTGATTGTAATATTGTTTTCCTTTAAATCATTATGAATTACATTTTTTAAGTGTAAAGCAGAGAGTGCCTCGGCGACTTTTAGCAATGAGTGGAACTGTTCTCTTGGTGAGCAGCGGCGGAGGTATTGATCATAGGACATGCCAGTGTAGTCCATGATCATGGCACGTTCCTCTACACAGACTGCCCGTACACGGGGTGCTCCTCCGGCGCCGTCTAGGGCTACGTGAAACGAATGTTCCTCTATAAACTTTTCGTATGTCACTTTCTTGTGCCTTTTCAAAACCATGTTAGCTCCGTTATATTACACCATCTCCACCACCCCATACGACCCCTCCCCCACGCTCGTCATACGGGGAATTTTTTGTAATTCCTCGGAGTTCAGGAAGACGAAGGAGTGGAGAAGGGAGTGTGGGGCAGGGAGAGAGGCTGCACTCTGGACTGGGGCGGCAGGTAAGGGGGAACTGGACTTGCCAGGTTTGCAACAGTGACACAGTCGCCGGACTTTCTTCAACCCACAAACGAAGGATTTTTTTATAACTTTGAGTGTCTCCATTTTGGAACACCAGTCACACTACTAGAGGTTCCTTCACGTGTTGGGAAAAAGACCGTTTGACAGTAAAAGGTCGAGTGTAGTACAGTATTTAGTAAGGTTGGAATTTTTTGGTAATAGTTTGGTGGGTGATAGTGTAGTGATGTAGTGATGTAGTGTAGATGGTAGTGTGGTTAATGTAGTGTAGATGGTAGTGTGGTTGATGTAGTGTAGATGGTAGTGTGGTTGATGTAGTGTAGATGGTAGTGTGGTTGATGTAGTGTAGATGGTAGTGTGGTTGATGTAGTGTAGATGGTAGTGTGGTTGATGTAGTGTAGTGTAAATGGTAGTGTGGTTAGTGTAGTGTAAATGGTTTTGTGGTTTATGTAGTGTAAATGGTAGTGTGGTTAGTGTAGTGTAGATGGTAGTGTGGTTGATGTAGTGTAGATGGTAGTGTGGTTGATGTAGTGTAGATGGTAGTGTGGTTGATGTAGTGTAGATGGTAGTGTGGTTGATGTAGTGTAGATGGTAGTGTGGTTGATGTAGTGTAGATGGTAGTGTGGTTGATGTAGTGTAGATGGTAGTGTGGTTGATGTAGTGTAGATGGTAGTGTGGTTGATGTAGTGTAGATGGTAGTGTGGTTGATGTAGTGTAGATGGTAGTGTGGTTGATGTAGTGTAGATGGTAGTGTGGTTGATGTAGTGTAGTGTAAATGGTAGTGTGGTTAGTGTAGTGTAAATGGTTTGTGGTTTATGTAGTGTAAATGGTAGTGTGGTTAGTGTAGTGTAGATGGTAGTGTGGTTGATGTAGTGTAGATGGTAGTGTGGTTGATGTAGTGTAGATGGTAGTGTGGTTGATGTAGTGTAGATGGTAGTGTGGTTGATGTAGTGTAGATGGTAGTGTGGTTGATGTAGTGTAGATGGTAGTGTGGTTATGTAGTGTAGATGGTAGTGTGGTTGATGTAGTGTAGATGGTAGTGTGGTTGGTGTAGTGTAGATGGTAGTGTGGTTGGTGTAGTGTAGATGGTAGTGTGGTTGATGTAGTGTAGATGGTAGTGTGGTTGGTGTAGTGTATGGTATGTGTAGTTGATGGTGTAGATGTGGTGTAGATGGTGAGTGTGATATGATGTGTGTAGAGTGGTGGTTAGTGTAGTGTAGATGGTAGTGTGGTTGGTATGGCTGGTTAGTAGTGTAGTGGTGATGGTTGTGTAGTGTAGATGGTAGTGTGGTTGATGTAGTGTAGATGGTAGTGTGGTTGATGTAGTGTAGATGGTAGTGTGGTTGATGTAGTGTAGATGGTAGTGTGGTTGATGTAGTGTAGATGGTAGTGTGGTTAGTGTAGTGTAGATGGTAGTGTGGTTAGTGTAGTGTAGATGGTAATGTGGTTAGTGTAGTGTAGATGGTAGTGTGGTTAGTGTAGTGTAGATGGTAGTGTATGTATGTATGTCTATTCTTAAGTACATACCTAGTACATATTAATGTGTCTCCCTAACCTAACCTAACCTAACCTAACCTAACCTAACCTAACCTAACCAGCTGACGTATTAATTTGTCTCCCTTACCAACCAGACACAGAGACCTTTCAAGATGGCGGATGGGAAGTTTGCGTCGTGTGGTGTCGTGTCCAGAGCTTTTGGTAAAGTCTTATTTATCGGTTCACCATACATACATACCCAACCCTCTAACACACACACCCATATACATGTATATTGTATTTCTGCCCTGCTGTATTGTTGTATTATTGTATTATTATTATTATTATTATTATTGTATTGCATCAGTATTGTATTACACCTCACCCTTGCCCTCGATAGGATGGATTCCAGCGAGGATATCGGTGGCACTGTTGGCACTGCTAGGGATGATGAATGCAGTGATGGTACGAGTCAATCTCTCTGTTGCTATAGTGGCTATGGTGCGTCATAACCCAAACACCACCATACACGTCCAGGCACAATGTTCCTCGTCCGCCAGTTCGTCCTCCAATATCTCGTCCGTCAGTCAAGAGTACGAGGAGCCATCTTTTCCCTATAGTAAGTTAATGTTTCTCTTGGTTTTTGTAAGTCTGTTTTCCTCCTTCTTTCTTCTTTCTTTTTCTCCTTTCTATCCTCTTTTTTCTTCTCCTTTTTTCCCTGGTTCATCCTCCTCCTCCTCCTCTTCTTCTCCTCATTCTTATATGACTCTTCCTTCTTCAATGACACTCTCCACTCTTCATCTTCCTTCTCCCGTGTGTCTCCTCCTCTTCCTACTTCATCCATCAGAGAAGCAGTTGTCGGTTAGTGAACTGTTAGTGTGTGTTGTTGTTTGTTAATACTCAACAGTGATGCCTTTTACTATACTGGAACAAAGGGATGAAGTGACCACGGCAGTACTATTAAAGACCCCGAGTACCATTACGAATATCCCTTATTCAGTAATGTGCTGTACCTTTTAGAAATGTTCGGAAATACTGCTTAGTCTGCTGTACCTTTCAGAAATGTTCGAAAATGCTGCTCAGTCTGCTGTACCTTTCAGAAATAATTATACAACATTGCTGTAACCTTCATAAGTGTTCAATAATAATTACTGTATCCTTCAGAAATATTCAGAACTCTCCCTTGTCTGCTGTACCCTTGAGAGATATATACTATTACTGTTTCCCTGAGAAATATACAACAATGCTGTATCTTGTACCAATTGTTCAACAACACTGCACTGTTCGCTGTGTTCTTTCAGCCAACGTGACCAAGCTTGGAGAGTTGGCCCCAGAGGAGGAAGATGGGAGTGAGTTAATGACCACAGAGTCCCCGGTGCTGTTGGTAGACTCTGTCATGACGGTGAGATATGGAGATAACTCATCAATCTAGAGATAAATTAAGACTTCATGGCCACAAGAAAAACAGTTATTCAAATATATATTTTTTATCGATCATAATACTTATTCTTATCTGTAATCTTGTTATTGATTGGATAAAGTATTTTTATTTAATCTCGTTTTGGTATAAGTTTAAGGAGATATGATATTAGTCACGTATCCTATCACGGGAAACGCCTGTGTTGAACTCCTCGGAAACTAGAATTACCAAAACCCCTAAACGAGTAAACAGAATCAACTCTTGTTTTTTTAAGATAATCCTCAACACTGTAATATTCCTCCTCAACACCCTACAGTATAGTCATCACACGTCCACATTTACTTTAAGTTCTTGTATTGTTGTTGTCTAAAGTACTGTACGTGAATTTAGGACTTTAGTTGTTGAAGTGTGTCGTGTTGGTAACAGTGGTGACGCCTTACAGGGTGGAGAGCTGGACTGGGATGAGGTGACACAGGGCTTTGTACTCGGCGCCTTCTTCTACGGCTACTGTGTGACTCAGGCAAGTCTCCTTCAACTGAGTGTATTTCCTCAGTATCCTACAGTACCTTCAGTATCTTTCCTCAGTATCCTACAGTATCTTTCCTCAGTATCCTTCAGTACCTTCAGTACCTTTCCTCAGTACCCTCCAGTATCTTTCTTCAGTATCCTTCAGTAGCCTTCATTATCTTTCCTCAGTATCCTTCAGTATCCTTCAGTATTTCTCAGTATCCTTCAGTATCCTTCAGTATCTTTCCTCGGTATCCTTCATTATCTTTCCTCAGTATCCTTCAGTATCCTTCACAGTATCCTTCAGTATCAGAGCGTCTTCTTTGCAGATCCTTGGGGGGAGACTGGCAGAGCTGTATGGGACACGGATCGTCTTTGGGCTTAGCATCCTGGCAGGCGGCGTGTCTGCCATACTCACGCCCCTGGCCGCCCGCACACACTACGGCCTCGTCATTGCTCTCAGAGTCGTTCAAGGACTCTTTCAGGTTAGTTCTTGGGTTTCAGGGCTATTTTAGGGACTTATTCAGGGTAATTCTCGCCTTTAGGGATATTTTAGGGACTTATTCAGGGTAATTCTCGCCTTTAGGGATATTTTAGGGACTTTCTCAGGGTAATATTTGCCTTCAGGGTAATTTTAAGGACTCTCAAGCTAATTTGCGTTAATATCAATTATATATTAGGTTAAATTCAATTAGCTTATGTTAGGTAAAGTAAGGTTAAGATTAGAGATAAGGATCACAATAGGACAAGTACCTATATAACCTTGAAACCCTTAAAATATATGTAAATAAAACCCTTACCCTCCTCCCTTAGGGCTCAACGATCCCTTGCCTGTTCCCTCTTATGGTACGCTGGATGCCCCCAACGGAACGGTCTAGGTTCATCGCCTATGTTTGTTTCTGTGAGTATCTAGTAACTTATTTTTTCCTAATTATTTATTGTTATTTTTTATCTATATCTGAAATATCTAGTAATTTATTTATTTATTTTTCTTATTTTTGGTATGATTCTGTTTTTATCTAGTTCCTTATGCTTACTAAACTTATATGTTTGTTTTCTTGTCCGACACACACACACACACACACACACACACACACACACACAGGCAACAACCTCAGCATCACCTTCACTATGCCTCTGTGTGGTTTGGTGATTGAATCTTTTGGGTGGGACGCCGCCTTCTATGTCACGGGCGCCCTGTCCCTCGTCTCCTGTCTCACCTGGTTCGCCTTTATGTATGAGACACCTGGAAAACACCCCAGGTACGTCATTTGTGTCCCTGGTCCATGCATAAATGTTCTTGGTCCATATATAAATGTCCCTGGTCCATCTATTAGTCTCTCTGGGCCAAGTATGAGTGTTTATGGTCCATATATGAGTTTCCTTGGCCCATGTATGAGTGCCCCTGGCCATGCATGAGTGCCCCTGGCCATGCATGAGTGTCCCTGGTCCATGTATGAGAGTCCTTGGCCCATGTATGAGTGTCTGGTCCATTTATGAGTGTCCCTGGTCCATGTATGAGTGTTCTTGATCCATGTATAAATATCCCACTTAATCCATACATAAAACGATACATCAACGATACATCATATACGGGATCTCGTCAAGAACACTGTATCTCCACAGGATCTGCCCGAAGGAGTTAGATTACATACAAGAGAAGGTAAAGACTCCTGAAGGCCTGGACACGCCCCCTTCCTCCATCCCTTGGAAGGAAATGGTCACAAGTCTACCACTGTGGGCCATCATAGTATGTGAAGTGGGGAATTCGTTCGGATTTAGTGTTTATTTCTCCTACATCCCGACCTACATGCAGAATATATTAGGCTTCTCCATTAGTGAGGTGAGGATACTTTTTTGGGTTGAGTTATGCTGCTTGTATGTTTGTTGTTGTTTGGTTGAGTTATGCTGTTTGTATGATTGTTGTTTGGTTGAGTTATGCTGCTTGTATGATTGTTGTTTGGTTGAGTTATGCTGTTTGTATGATTGTTGTTGTTTGGTTGAGTTATGCTGTTTGTATGATTGATGTTGTTTGGTTGAGTTATGCTGTTTGTATGATTGTTGTTGTTTGGTTGAGTTATGCTGCTTGTATGATTGATGTTGTTTGGTTGAGTTATGCTTGTATGATTGTTGTTTGGTTGAGTTATGCTGCTTGTATGTTTGTTGTTGTTTGGTTGAGTTATGCTGTTTGTATGATTGTTGTTTGGTTGAGTTATGCTGCTTGTATGATTGTTGTTTGGTTGAGTTATGCTGTTTGTATGATTGTTGTTGTTTGGTTGAGTTATGCTGTTTGTATGATTGATGTTGTTTGGTTGAGTTATGCTGTTTGTATGATTGTTGTTGTTTGGTTGAGTTATGCTGCTTGTATGATTGATGTTGTTTGGTTGAGTTATGCTGCTCTTATGCTTGAGGTTTTCATGGGTAAGTTATGCTGTTCGTATGAGTAGTGCTTTAGGGTTCGGTGTGTGGAAGGTACAGGGATTTTTAGATCGTCCTGCTCTGCCTTACCCCCATGAAGTTTATTGTTTTAGCCATAATTTAACGTAACAAAAATTAGCCATAATTTAACGTAACATAACTTAGCCATAACTTAACGTAACATAACTTAGACGTAATTTAACGTAACTCAACATAACTTAGCCATAATTTAACGTAACATAATTAGCCATAACTTAACGTAACATAATTTAGCCGGAACTTAACGTAATATAACTTAGCCGTAACTTAACGTAACATAACTTAGCCATAACTTAAACGTGTCCTACAGAACGGTGTCTTGTCCGCCTTGCCCTTCCTGTGTCGGTACCTGGGTGCTGTTGTGTCGGCCACGGCAGCGGACATGGTGCTGGACCGGGAGCTCCTCTCTGTCATCACTATCCGTAGAATCTTCAGTGCTGTTGGTGAGTGCTTACGTCACCTGTTCTGTTATTGGTGGATATCTACACCTATATTGCCCTGGTATTGGTCGGTATCTACGCCTAATGTTCTGCTATTGGTGGGTATCTATGCCTCCTGTCATGTTATTGGTGGGTATCTACGCCTACTGTCATGCTATTGGTTAGTGCCTACGCATCTTATCATGCTATTGGTGGGTATCTATGCCTCCTGTCGTGTTATTGGTGGGTATCTACGCCTACTTTCTTTTTATCAGTGGATATCTACGCCCACTGTCTTGTTATTGGTGGATATCTATGCCTACTGTCCTGTTATCGGTTCATGGGCAAGATTTCCATCAATTCTGGTGATATGTCTATGCCTTTCTATTTTCAACCTCTTAATCTAACGTTTACATTGAATATCCTCCTCCCGGCAGCCATGTTCGGTCCTGCACTGAACCTGTTGGCCGTGGCGTACTCCGGGTGTGATCCTACCGTGGCAGTCTTCCTCCTGTGTCTCGGCTTCCTTCTTAATGGGTTCATCACCACTGGTCTCTTCGCCAACAAGACCGACATCACCACCAACTTCGTCGGTTAGTACAGCTGGAGGGTCACTCCACGTTGATTACACTATGTGGGATTGCCAACACCTTTACCAAGCTACCAACTCATCCCTAATCCTTTAAATTATCTCACCAGGTACAGTATGTGGGATTGGCAACACCTGTGCCAATATGGCCTCCGTCATCGTGCCCATCATAGTGGGAGCTCTCACTCTGAACCAGGTAGATACACTCAGAAGCACTTACACCATATAGTCAGCTACAAAAAACATGATAGTCAGCTGGCTAATGGTCTGTAGTTGTAATGTTTTTGTTGTTTTTGTTTTTATCTGTTTTAAGTGCTACAACTATATGAATTTGTAAGTAAATTTCGCAGGGCTGATTTTTAGGTGCTTCAACTATCAGAATCTTTAAGTAACGTTCAGTAGGGCTCAATTTAGGCTCAGTGCTTCAACTATCATGTTTTCCCCGCCAGCAAACCATGGGACAGTGGCAGAAGGTGTTCTGGATGTGTGTGCCAATATATATCGTCACTGAGGTCTTCTTCCTTATCTTCGCTTCCGGATCCATTCAGAAGTGGAACTATGAAGACACCGATAAGAAGAGAGGCTCACCTGAGGCAGAAGCCTTCTTGGATGATGCCCTGACTTTCATTCCGAAGGAGAAAAGTAGTGAAGCCTAGAATGTACCCTAAAATAAGCTTTGGAGGGTAGTAAAGCCAAGAACGAAACCTAAAATAAGCTCTGGGTGGGTAGTGAGGTCAAGAACGAACCGTAAAATCATTTTTGGAAAGTACTGAAGACAGTTACGAAGCCTAAATTTAGCTTTGCGTGGTCTTGAAACCAACAACGAACACACGCCTCATATAACCCTTAAAGCTGTATAGTCTGTGCATAGGTTAATTTTTATCAGATTAAGAACTATATACTTCATTCACTCCAAGCCTAGAACTGGGCCAGATAAAAGCAAACTCCTGGTTGATCTCTAGCCGCACCAGATAAGAGCAAGTTTGTGATAGGTCGATTGCAGAATATAAAGAAAACAGATTAAGTAATGAAGAGCTGTAGTTACCCAATGCATCTCGTCCCGCCAGCCAATCAGCTCCATTGATCAAATATGTTCTTGGTTTTGATTGGTTCATGAGAACGGAGCATAGAGTGTATGTGTATTTTTCTGTTTGGCAATTATTTTGTTATATAATTCCCATTGTAGCTGGAGCTACTATATTATGTGGTCTACCGAGCTGGAGTTGTGTCTACCGGGATATTTACACTAAAGCATCCATTAATATAACATAACCTAGGTTAGGTTCATGGATGCTAAAGTGTAAATATCCTGGTAGACACAACTCCAGCTCGGTAGACCATACTATAGTAGCTCCAGCTCTGTAGACCACATACTACAGTAGCACCAGCTCTGTAGACCACATACTATAGTAGCACCAGCTCTGTAGACCACATACTACAGTAGCACCAGCTCTGTAGACCACATACTACAGTAACTCCAGTTCTGTAGACCACATACTACAGTAGCACCAGCTCTGTAGACCACATACTACAGTACCACCAGCTCTGTAGACCACATACTACAGTAGCACCAGCTCTGTAGACCACATACTACAGTAGCACCAGCTCTGTAGACCACATACTACAGTAGCACCAGCTCTGTAGACCACATACTACAGTAGCACCAGCTCTGTAGTCCACATACTACAGTAGCACCAGCTCTGTAGACCACATACTACAGTAGCACCAGCTCAGTAGACCACATACTACAGTAGCACCAGCTCTGTAGACCACATACTACAGTAGCACCAGCTCTGTAGTAGACCACATACTACAGTAGCACCAGCTCTGTAGACCACATACTACAGTAGCACCAGCTCTGTAGACCACATACTACAGTAGCACCAGCTCTGTAGACCACATACTACAGTAACTCCAGTTCTGTAGACCACATACTACAGTAACTCCTGTTATGTAGACCACATACTACAGTAACTCCAATTCTGTAGACCACATACTACAGTAGCACCAGCTCTGTAGACCACATACTACAGTAACTCCAGTTCTGTAGACCACATATTACAGTAGCACCAGCTCTGTAAACCACATACTACAGTAACTCCAGTTCTGTAAACCACATACTACAGTAGCACCAGCTCTGTAGACCACATACTACACTAGCACCAGCTCTGTAAACCACATACTATAGTAACTCCAGTTATGTAGACCACATACTACAGTAACTCCTGTTATGTAGACCACATACTACAGTAACTCCAGTTCTGTAGACCACATACTACAGTAGCACCAGCTCTGTAGACCACATACTACCGTAGCACCAGCTCTGTGGACCACATACTACAGTAGTTCCATTATTAGTTAAAAAATAAGGAGTTTTCTATATATTAAAATTTCAGTGAATAAACTTTAGATTAATCACCCAAATACAACCTGACGCCAGACATCTTCTGGCTTCTTGTGTTACCCTCTTAGTTCTATTATATTATGGACTATATAATAATCTTATATCTGTAGTTCATACCATAATGTGTACTTTATTGTATTATGGTATTGTATTACAAATATTGTTTCTCTTGTTTTCTGGTGTAATGTATTAATAAAACCTCCAAGTGCTCAATTCTAGCATCCATAATGTAGGCTATTAATAAAGCCTCCAAGTGCTCAACTCTAGTATCCATAATGTATTAATAAAGCCTCCAAGTGCTCAACTCTAGTATCCATAATGTATTAATAAAGCCCCTAAGTGTTCAACTCTAGTATCCATAATGTATTTTTAGCGAACATGTGATGAATTCCCAATAAAGATCAATAAAACAGTCGAAATTGACTCTGTAAAACCTCAATGAGAAAGTTATTTCACCTTAACGTCATTCTTAAAGCTCAAGAAACTGGATGAAAATAGTTATCTGCAACCCAGGTGACACCACGAGAGCTCAGGCCCTCAATTGGTCCACTCTGTATCTGTATTTTCTGGTTAAATAAACTGTTTCAATATCAAGTGTGGACGAACTGCTCTAATCCCGCGGCTTACACAGAATTGGGGTCGCAGAGCAAATGACCTATAAGGGAATAATAAAGGTGGAAATAATTCTCATAATTCGTGGTTCAGTAGGTATGCTTCCTTCCTGTCGTTTTCTGAACCTCTAGTCAGTTACTTCTTTGAAGTGTGCAAGGTGGGCCGAGTTAGTTATTTAAGATGGACCGAGTTGGCTATTCAATATGCATGGGCCGAGTTGGAGGTTCACCTGCCAAAATACCCATAAAACAACTCACTGCTTCATTAAACTATATAAAATAAGTTACTGGTATTATAATAAACATACATACCTGCATCAGATATCATCCAATCACTAATAAGGTGATAATTGTCCATAATAATAATATGAAGAGGTTCTGTTGAAGGAGACTTGTTGTCTGCAGGGTTGCATGGCACATGTGAGGCAGAACGGCGAGGGCGTGGATGAGCCGGCCGCTAGGGGAGACAACTGTCTAGACACACAAGATCTGTGAGAGAAAAAGGGTGTGTGGGGGCGATGAATGTTGTGCTTCCCTCTCTGCAGGTTCAGAGTCCTCAGATGCGCCAGCTGGGGTCGGTAGGACGTGGTGCTTGGGGCAGGAGGAGGAGCTGGAGTCTGCTTAGAGAAGCAGTGCTGCTCAAGGGTGTCTAACCTGCGGTGTAGAGACAGTTGCTGTAGAGCCGATGAGAGCTGCCTCTGTGTGGATAAGCCAGTCTTCCATGTTGCTTTAAGACTGGGAGAGTGATCAGTTTCTCCTCCATCCTGTGTGAGTGTGAATCTCCGGGGTCACCATTTGTAGGTTTACATGAGATGTTTCTCCTCCATCCTGTGTGAGTGGGTCACTCCGGGGTCACCAATTGTGGGGTTTCGTGCTATTTGGTTCACACTCAGGATGGGATGGAGAAAGGAAACTCACAATGCGCTCACTGTATACATATTGTATTGGATGTACAATGCAGCTTGTTGCTGGGTAGGCAGCATGGTTACAAGCGTTGAGTAGAGAGAGCTGATGGTTGGTGAGGGTGCCCAGAGGAGGACACGCAGCTTGAGGGACGCCAAGGTCGCCGGCGGAGCGGAGCCACCAGGCTGGCGCGGAGGAGGAGGTGTTGCTTGCTGGTGGCAGTCAGTAGAAAGAGTGGTCACAGCGGTGTCAGGTCTTATAAGGCGGGGGTAGGCGTGGGTTGATAGTTGACCTCCGTTATGTAAGGCGGCGTTGGTTGACCTAGACCACGAGGCATACACTGGGGAATCCGCAGGGTCGGCTACACAGCGACAAATGCGTTTGTAGGGGAGGAATCCACTACACTGTGTCACGCACCCACGTCGAGAAATTAAATGTCAATGATACTCAACTCAAAATAGGAAAGCTCCAGCTAAAATATATGAAATGTGTGTGCGGTACAGTTGCCAGATAAGGTTTAACCTCAATAACATCGTTATCTAGTGGCTGCGTCTAGAAGCTATTCATGACGTCATAGACGTTGATGTGACTTCATGAGTGATATTTTTACGTTTTCCCTTTATTTTAGACATATCAATCTTCATCTATGTATGCATGTAGGTATAAAATTAAGAATTTCTTGGTATAATGACAGCAAAGTTAAACTGAAATATAATGGCGTCATCAATAATTTTACTAATTATATAATGGCTATTCCTGGCTGTAGTCCAAGATTTTGAAAACAAGTAGACGACAACATGACGTCACAGAAGTACGACTGCAGCGTCATCCATAAAATGACGTCACTGTCTTGAGGTCCCAGCTACCCACTACGTCACACTCAGTCTGTCTCAACAACATTGTTCTTCGTTATTATCAGCCAAAAAGCTTTTAACTGTTTCTTGGAAATGAATTGTATAACTATTAATTTCAAACCCCATGACTTCTAATGGATTTAAAGTTTATATATTAAAGACATATGTAACAAAAAAAGATAGTTTTCTCTCATGAAACAAAAAATAATGAAAAGAAATTTTGCTGGATAAGAACAAATATTATGTAAACAGGCTGAAAGTTAGAGACCTTTAACAGAGAGAGAGAGAGAGAGAGAGAGACATATACTCTTGGTACAAGTTAGAGACCTTTAACAGAGAGAGAGAGAGAGACATATACTCTTGGTACCGATAAACAGGGAGAGACAGATAAAAGTCAGTCAACAAGGTGGTCATAGACGTGAGACCGACGGCACAGTCCCTACTACACCACGATGGATCCACCAGCTTCAAGATCTCGACTAGAAATCAACTTTATACGACTACTCGAGGAGACACAACAAATGGCTAATGGGAACAAGCAAAAGGACTGGACGTTTGAGAAGGTTAGGCGATAAAAGAAGATAGTGAACTCTATTTAACGGACGATATGGAGAGGAATGTCAATTGTATGTATGGTCTGTCATGAAATTTCCATCTAATGAGCAACATAAGGGTAAATTTAGGATAGTAGCTTGGTTTGGGTTAGGTTAGGTTAGGTTATGGCGGTAAGCACTAGAAACGAAGGTCAGATTCGCTCAAATTACAGTAAGAACCATAGGATAAACCTAGCTACTATCATAAATTGACCGGGATGAAAGTCTGTTATATCAAGGGTCCATATGGAGATCAAAGTCCGTTATATGGAGGTTTCACTATTGTCATTTAGACGTATATAATTCCTTTACTATAATAGTCTGTGATAATTAAGATAAAGGTGTAGATGAGATACTAAGGAATATTTTTGCTTTGGGTAATTTTCCAGATACCCAGTACAGTAATGTACTGTACTTCCTAGTTGCCAACATGATGACTTTTCACCATTGAAGATAAAAGCTTTCACGCCTCATGGAAATGATAAAAATTGCATGAGGAATTCATATTGTGTGATACCATATACAATTTTTTTATGACTTGGAGGCAACGCTATGGTCTGTCTGCCATGTTGGAATGTAGCATTGTCTGCTAATTTGGGAATGTATATAACAATTTACTGCTAACATAAAAGTCTGAAAGTAGAAGATACAGTACTGGTATAGGTTATAATTGTGTATAAAATGACCTGACCTAACCTAACCTGATCTGACCTAACCTAACCTGATCTAACCTGATCTGATCTAACCTAACCTAACCTGATCTAACCTGATCTGATCTAACCTAACCTAACGTCTGCCAAATGTCTAGTCATGGAAACGAATTTAGCAGACTTACCTCAGAGTTGCCTCGGTATAATAAAGACGGAAGAATCTTAAAAGTTACATTACACAGCACGTATTCCTCGTCCACTTTTTCATTATCAAGAAGTAAAAAAAGTTATATAATAGTGTTATATTATTAGAACATTTCACTTATAATAACTAAACGATAAACACTGCTGTAGATTGACCATGATCCTGCCTAAGACAACTACCTGACACAGGATTCTTTATGATTTAATGTTCTCGTAGAAAGAAAGTTGTTACAATTACTGGTGTTTGCTACTATGTAAGTTGGGAGGAAATAAGGGTAATTAAGTTTCTTAAGGATGTGTGACAATTTTATTGTTAATTGTCATACAGTAAGTGTATCATCTAAAATATTAATGATTATTGAACACTGTTTCCACCAAATTTTCTTATTACTGTACCTCTCTCAATATTTCAATACAATACTTAAGATTTTTTAAATATTGCAGTGTTTGTATTGAATATATGAAGTACAGTACTGTACCTCTTATCTTAAAATCACATTTGTGGATTACAATATTATATGGTTAATATAGTATTAGCCAATGTGTGTGTTTACAAAATGATGTATTATCCACTGGATGCTGGAAAATGGCAATGGTTCTGCTCTAAAATATTCTGCTGCTAAAATATAAATTATTTCAACATAAGAGTTACATAAGAATACTTACATATTTAAGATATAGTCATTTTAGAGATCTTGACTTATTTTCATTGCCATTTTCTTCCAGTTGATGAATGATCGGAGGCTGGTTATCCTCTTTGGGAGTCAGACAGGAACAGCTCAGGAAGTGGCTGAAAGAATTGGGAGAGAGTCCCGACGCTACTATTTTATTCCCATAGTCTCTGCAATGGATGATTACCCTGTTGAAGACTTGACCAAGACACCATTGGTGGTGTTTGTTGCCTCAACCACTGGTCAGGGTGATGACCCAGATAACATGAAAATATTCTTCAGAACTCTTTGGTCACAGAGGAAGAACAGGCAGCTGTTAGTTAACCTTAAGTTTGGAGTTATTGGGCTTGGGGATTCTTCGTATCAGAAATTTAATTTTGTTGCCAAAAGACTTAATAATTTAATAACATTCTTAGGTGGTCAACCCATTTTAAAGCTTGGGCTCGGGGATGACCAACATGACCTGGGGCCAGATTTTGTGATAGATCCGTGGTTAAAAAGTTGGTGGAGTCTGGTGCTGGAGCTTCACCCTCTACCAGAAGGGAGGAAACCTCTCAGTGCCTCTGTGCTTCTACCACCTAAATACAAGGTTAAAATTTTTAATGCAGACGCCAGCAAATATGATCATGTTCAGGACAACTGTGTGTCGGGGTCACAAGGTGAAGCTTGTGCAGCCAGTCCGTGCAGTGCAAAAATTACTATGAACAGAAGAGTTACATCCTCGGATTTCTTTCAAGACGTCAGACTCATAGAGTTTGATATAACCGGCATCAAAACAAAACATAAACCGGGTGATGTTCTCGTGGTGCAGCCTCAGAATTTAGAAGAACACGTCGATGAGTTCATTAGCCTTCTTGATCTAGATCCAGATGAATTGTTTTATTTAGAATCAAATGATCCTAATGTCTCCTTACCTCCAGCTGCTGTACTACCAAGGCCATGCACAATGAGAGAATGTGTACAAAAATACTTTGATATTTTAGCCATTCCTAAAAGATATTTTTTTGAGCTGTTGGCATTGTTCACAAAGGACGAAAATGAGAAAGAGAAGTTCCAGGAATTTTCCTCAGCAGAGGGACAACAAGACCTTTATGACTACTGCAACAGACCCAAGAGAAGTATCATGGAGGTGTTAGCTGACTTTCCTCACACAAGACACAATATTCCTCTGGAGTACTTGTTTGATCTCCTCCCTTCCATTAAGCCTAGATCTTATTCAATTGCATCCTCTAGCCTTGCATTACCAAACATAGCTCAACTTCTCGTCGCTGTGGTCAATTATCGCACTGTTCTCAAGCGACCGAGATTAGGTTTGTGTACAAACTGGCTGGCTAGACAGAGTGTGGGAAATCGTGTACCCGTTTGGATTAAGCCGGGAACTTTAACTTTCCCGTCTCTCACTTCTGGGGCTGTACCGCCCGTGGTGATGATTGGTCCTGGAACGGGATGTGCCCCATTCCGTGCATACATACAGGAGAGAGTAGCGAGTGGTCATCATAAAGATATAATTATGATATTTGGATGTAGAAATAAAGACAAGGATTACTTCTTTAAGGAGGAATGGGAAGCACTGGCGAAGGAACAGAAACTGGAGCTTTATTGTGCTTTTTCTCGTGATCAGGAAGACAAGATTTATGTACAGCACAAGATGAGAGAGAACGCTTCCAAGCTCTGGACTCTCATAGGAACACAACGAGCAATGATTTACTTTGCTGGGAATGCCAAAAGGGTCCCAATCGACGTGTACGAAGCCCTGACGTACATATGTGAGAAGGGCAGAGGTCAAGGGACACAGGACGCTGAGCAGTACATGAAGAAGGATGTAGAGAAGCGTTATCAGACGGAAACTTGGGCATAAAAGAACTTTAATGTAACTCTATGAACATCAAAGTAAGGGAACACCTTTGTATGAAATTTTAAGAGAATGAACATAAGGATATAGACACAAAAGAAGAAAGGAGACATAATTATTTGTGCCTAAAAATATTAAACAGCGAGAGAGATGTCAATATATTTTTTGTATTTTTTTATGGTCAATGAGTGTTCAATGATATATTATGTTGCCTTATATTGTACTAACTTAAAAAAGAGATGAAGCAAACAGAGACAGACCAGTTGAGATGATATGAACAAATTATTATATCAGGACCTAACTATTATAGACAATTAGAGTATTGTACTTATATTACTATGTAATGTCTGAATCTATAACATGTGTGGCTTTGTAAGGTATCAGGTACTGTGTATAATATTTAGAGTTGTATAATTACGTGTAAATTTGAATTATATAAAATGTAAATTCTCTGTACATTATGTAAAGTGTGGATATAAATGAAATATAAAATTCTACGATGCTTGGCTTGATGAGATATAAAATTATGTTAAGTTTTATGTATAGATAACATAATATTGTACCCCCACTACATGGAAAGCCTGGTTCTCTCCATAGGATGTGGTGTGGTGTGGTGTAGTGTCGGGTAACACTACAGGCTACTCAGTAAATTCTCCTGCAAATAAGGCTTTATGTCATGAGCAGTTTAGCGGGCAGACTCATACTTATTCATTAATGAGAATTTTATCACAAAACTATGCATTGTAAATAGATTGAGATGGGCTATCCTGTATTAAATAATATTAAATATGTAAGATGTTAGTGTATAAGAAATACAGGTATACAGTATTTATGCATTTATGTTTTATTAATATACCTCGGATATAAAATGGAAAATCTTGTTTCACTTCATTACTTATGGCTTGTGAGTCATCAACAAGTTACCTGTGGGACTTTTAAACTATCAGACACTAGGACGAATGAAAGTACACTACTGTATGGTATATATTTACATGAATATTAAGTGATGTAAAATATTAAAAAAGGTACAGTACAGGTGTAGGAAGGAAACATTTGAACAGATAACCATATTGTTACTCAGTTTTCAAAGAATATATATGAATTCTGTTCCCATCCAGCACAGGATTTAACTTCAGTACTTAAGAATGGAATTGTTTGACTGCTTTAGGTAATAAGTCTAGGGTAAACTTGTCAATTTACTGTACTGAAACAATCCTCCCTGTTCCCACCAGTACATAGGATGGTTACAGGAGAAGATCCCGGAAATGGAAAAGAGTCCCAAGTAAGTCATCGCAGTGTACAGGAGCTGTATGTAAGAATGTTCGCGACAGAAACAAAGGTATCGTTAACTACAGTAAGTGGTTGCAGTAGTATACAGGAGCTATATGTAAGAATGTTCGTTACAGAAACAAAGGTATCGTTAACTACAGAAAGTGGTTGCAGTATATAGGAGCTATATGTAAGAATGTTCACTGTTGAAACAAAGGTATCGCTAACTACAGTAAGTGGTTGCAGTATAAAGTATAGGAGTAGCTTTAGAATGTTCGCTACTATAACAAAAGCATATCAATGGACTCGCTACAATTAAGGTACTGACAGTTTTACAGTTCATACGTGTTTATTTGTTGAGAGTTAACTAAGTGAGTCACAAATACCTCCATGATAAATAAACAGGATTTTATTTATTTTATTTTGTTTTTATTTTCAGTGTTTGATAATGTACAGGGAAATTTTCTTGGGATGTCACTATATTAATCTCTCTTTTATATTATATTTCACTCTTGTCTATGATGATAAAAAAACATACATTCACTTTATTCTCACTTGATTTTCATGTTAGTAATAGTGAACTTGAAACTGTAATCATTGCCACCACTACAGCCACTAACAATATTACAGTACTGTATTATTCTTACCAGCTGTACTCAAACTGTTCTATCATGTTTCTTCACAGTGCGCCCAATGATGAAACACTAAAGCACTACAAGAGACAGGTGGACTTCTTAAGGGGAGTTTTAGAAGCTGAAAATTGCGTGAGTATTCTGGTTACGTAAGAGTGAATTTACCGGTAAGTTTTTCTCTGGTGGGTCAGTCTGTGAGAGTATATTCATGGTTCCTCCTCACTGGCTTTATCGTGTGTGTATGTGTGTGTGAGAAAGAGTGTTCCTTTGTGTATATGTGATCGCTAGATGAAAAATAAAGCATCAAATTCAACTTTTTGTACCAAAGGTGAGGCTCACTATCATTGGTTACAGGTTAATGGTCCAAAAGGTGTATTATGTACTCTACTCTACTCTGCTCTGGTCATGTTGTTGCCGACTGAGACTTATCTGTCCCTCCCTCCCATACAGACGCAGGTTCTCGACTCAGGCACGGCCACACAGATGATCCCACATGGACCAGCAACAACTAGCAACCACTCTCTCACCCAGCAGATACACCAACGAGCACAGGCCAAGACCACCAACAGACTACGCCAAGATTTGTTAGGTCTCGGTAAGTGTGATGTGTGGGTCAGTGCAGAGTGAGTCAGTTATTATCGCCCTGCTGTCATTATCGTGTTTGGTTAAATTTATAGTCATAATAGAGAGGCGGGTGTGGGGTCACTGCAAAATATGTCACTGTTTGACTATCTAAGGATCACATGTGAAGGGGTTCGTGGAGCTGCAGGAGAGGTGACGGGACTGTTGTTCATGACAGTATGTGCGTCTGTATTCAAGTCACTTAGATTAGGATTTAGTAAAAAAAGAAAAATTGTTTTAAGGTCAATTCTTCATTTTTCTTAGTCCTATTTGTTAATGTTCTTGTTTTCTGATAAGGAATTAAAATAATATAGAAACTCACGAGAAAAGATAATTTAGTTGTATTTAGCATAAACGTTAAGGGACATAATGTTAAATAATCTGTGTAGACATTTATATATTTGTCTTATGTTATATAATTGTACTGATGTGCTGGTTCTTTTTATTTTCAGAAGTCTTTGGCTGGATCAAATATTCTCAGAGATAACTGTAGTTTTTAGTGTAGCTCATTGTAGACTGTAGTGCTGGTGATTATGAAGATCCTAATAAATTTGTTTTAAAAATATCATTAATCATATTAGTTATTTGTAACCACATACAGTAATACAGTACTTGACTTTATGGCTGATGTAATACCCAAGTTTACCAACCAGGTCTGATGGCTGTAACTCATACGTCATCTAATTCTGGACTTGGCCATAAAATGTAATTTCAGAGTCAATCCTTCTTTTATAAGCCATAAGACCAAAGTGTAGGAATATTGAATTCTTGATTAAAGCACAGTTACTATCTCAGATCTACCTGTCAATTAAGATTTACTTGAGAGGCATGTCTGTACAGTTTGTGGTCAAGATGAATAGCTTATGTATTGACTGATTCCTTTGGGCAGTGAGCCTCAGCAACATAGACTATAAACCAATACTAATAGAAAATAAACCAATCCTAACCTAAGATCATTAAATTAGGTAAAGTTGGTTGAGTTACATCTGGTCGTTGTTTGTCTCTTGTTATAAATTGTTATTTTGTATACAGGTTGTGTACATCCAACTCTCTAGTAAAAGCAAGTAGGCAAATGGACCCATGTTGATGGTCAAAGCTAATTAATTATTGTATTTAACAAGCTAAAGGTCGATACAGTAGTTGTAAAGCAGGACCTTTCTTCGGGGGAAGGCGGACTTGATGTTTTGACAGTCATGCAAATATTCACTTCTGATTACATTTGAGTATAGAAATCTTAATGTTTGGAGGTACTGGGTAGTGGAAATAGTTTACCCTGTGTTTTGATACTTATGGTAGCAGACATTAGGTAGACTTGACCACTAACCTTAATATTGACATTGAATTAATATACCTGTATGTAACATTATAAGCCAATATGAAGGTTAAGGATTCACTTTGTGTGTGTCAGTTGAGTGTATGAGTAAGTCTTTGTGTATTCTACTTGTTGTCTAAATCCTTCCCTGCAGCTTTGTATACTTGTGTAGTAACATGACCCTCACATCATCTTCCTCCCTCTCTCCGGTTGCGTATAATAAATATTATAATACATAAAATGATTAGATATAATTTTTTTTTTATTATCTCTTCAACTTTGTGTCGGGTGAGTTAAGTATCTTTAAATAATAAGTTTTAAGAAAGTCTCCAGTTTTAGTTTTTCAAGCTTAACTTGAGTGTAAAAACTTGAATGTAATTAATGAGACCAATTAGCATCAATGGGACACTAAATCCTCCTCAAATAGAGTTGATGAAGAGGGAAGGGTGATGAGTATATCCAAATGGCTTAAAAAATCAACTTTGGCTGCATGGGGGCATGTCTAAGGGCATCAGAACCTCCCTTCCTCCTTCCTTGTAAAAGCTGTCTGGTTATTTGCTCGACCCAAGAAGGAATTTCAGGATCAGTGCTCGAGTTTTTTATGACTATGACTACTGGAGTGCAAATTCTGAATAATACAATTTGAAGGAGTTTCTGTCAACCATGCTAACCTAACCTAAACCAAATTTCTCAATGTTTATTACACATTGCCCTAGATCCCAATGGTGATGAGCGCGAATTCCGGAACCGCAAGGGAGGTCTATCTGGGGATATCAGCGCAGAAGATTTCCAGAGTCAACTACTGTCTGATGAGCAGAAGAGAGAAAAAATGGTGGAGGACATGATCATTATGACGAGGGAGTGGAAGGAACAGTCCAAGATCACCAACAAGATTATCAAGAAGGATATTGATGTGAGTTTTGTTGACAGTCTTTGTCTTACATGTAGGACAAGAGTGTCCGGTCTTTGCCACAGATATTATTTAATTTAGGGTAATACACGGCACAATAACACAGTCATTCAGCCAGTTGTCTCATTGTCTGTTCATAGACTCTTATGTAAGATGTGGAAACTAAATAAAAGAAAAAATTATGTCATCTTATGTTTCATATGCTAATTACTGGTACTGTACTGTATATATAATAAAGGTGTACAGTACAGTTCTAGGAGAAAGTGTGGAATTTGAAAGCAAACAAAAGTCTAGATGTGTGCATACTGCCAGCAACAATGAATATCAGCTATTCTACACAAGTTTTCTCTTGACAGGTTCTGGACAAATCATCAAAGGTAGCGGACTCCAATCAGGCAAACCTCAAAGTTGAGTCTAACCGTCTAGCGGAGTACAACAAACGGGCGTGTAACTTCTGGATATGGATAATGATAATCATCGTATGTTTTACTTTCATTGGTACGTGAGCGTGTTTTAATTTTCACAGGACAGTACAGTACTGTAATTATATTTGTTTAAGTAATGCTTGAATACTTATGTTTATTTAACTTACTTAAATGTGTTCTAGTTGAAGGCTGAGTTAAGTTCGGTTAAGCAACTGTTAAATTACTTCACAATGCTTATGGTTTGTTCATGAACACTGTTAAATTTTGGTTTATTCATGAATGCGTAACATTATTCTATAAATTCTTTCACTCCTCAGCTTATATTAATTAAATCTTTTAAATCCATCTGAATTTACCTGTTATTATTTGTACCTTCACAAGAAAACTAAAATTGTCTTTTTTCCAGGTATGGTTGTGTTTATCAGAATATTCCCCAGGAGACATGCCTACTGATTTAGAAAGAAAATATCCATTTATCACCAAAGTGCTATGAAAACTCTGCTTTATCACCAAAATGCAATGAAAAACTCTGCTGTAACACTAAAATGGAACGAAAGAGAAACTCTGCTTTACACCTTACGGGAGAGCAGAAGAACTATGCTTTGAACATCTTTACACCACAGAAAGAATTATGCCTTACTTTACGAACTGTCACTTGATTACAT